AGTCATCCCCCATTCACACACACATTCACACACTGGTGGGGATGAGCTACGATGTAGCCACACCTGCCCTAGGGCGCACTGACAGAGGCTGTTTACCTTAATTCTTCAGTGGTTTCTCTTCCTGTTCCCTACAGGAGTGGATATTACAAACACCGTAGATCTAACTCTAACTTGCATCCACTCAACATCAGCTGTATCTGTAGATGCTGATTTCTCCACATCAGCATGACTTTATTAAATACCTGCTCCATTAACAATAAGTCCTTCCTGGTTAAAGATCAGATTCTCTCTAAAAACCTGGATTTTCTGATTAGACTAAGGTTTAGCAGCAAACATTTGATTATTCTGGCTCTGATTGAACCCTGCCCGTGTGCTTATTCCTTCCTTGGCCAGCTGTGTGGTTCTGGTCAAGGTGGAGGCCTAGCTATTGTTTTTAGAGATAATTCTTCTTGTATCTCCACAACCTCAGGCCCCTTTTCTTGCTTTGAACTGCAGCTAATTAAAATCGGGCATGACATGTTTTACTGTGCTGTAGTTTATGGTCCATCTAGTTCAAACAGTTCTTTCAGGAGTTTAGTGACTTCCTATCCTCTATTGTAAAGCTGTCCAGACTGGTGGTTCTTGGTGATTATAACATTCACATTAATGATGCCTCAGACAACCTTGCCAGGAGCTTTTCCAGCATCATGGACTCACTAGCATGTTTCTGGCTTCACACACACACACACACACACCAAGGGGCACTGTCCAGACCTTGGTTTTTGGGGTGACGGTGGCACAGGAGTTAAGTGCTTGCCCTGTAATCAGAAGATTGCATGTTCGAGGCTTGCTCAGTTTGTTGCTGTCATTGTGTCCTTGGGCAAGACACTTGACCTTCCCTTGCCTGCTGGTGGTGGTTGGATGGACCGATGGTGCCAGTGCACGGCAGCCTCACCTCCGTTAGTGCGCCCCAGGGCAGCTGTGGCTACGTCGTAACTCATCCCCACCAGTGTGTGAATTTGTGTGTGAATGGGGGGATGACTGATTGTGTTGTATAGCGCCTTGGGGGGTTCCAGGACTAGAAGACGCTATATTAAATACAGGCCATTTACCATTTGTTTTTACCCTGGGTCTAAATGCTGACATTGTGTCAATTTTTAAGGGCACAGCTAGCTAATTACCTGCCGCTTTCTTGTTCATTTGATAATGACCCAGATTCTTTAACTACTCACTTCAACAAGCACTGCCTCTCCATTCTGGACCACATTCTCTCCTATCAGAACCAGATCAGTTCCTGCAGTAAACCCTAATTCCTAATTCCAGCCTGAAGTGCCAATGCAGAAACATTTTGCGCCTGTGGAAGAAAACTAGTCTCAGCGACAATCTGCTACATCTAAAGAATCTTGTGATCTCCTAGAACTCTGCAGACAGAGATGTGAGGGTTACCTATTTTTTCCAACCTGGTGTCCTAGGACAAAGGAAATCCCAAGTTGTTTAACAAAATCAGTCTTGTAGCGGCCTTGAAGGACAATAGGTCTTCAATTATAATGTTATAGGACTGTATCAGCTGTGTTTGTGTGTCATTTTCATAGAACAATTGATTCCCGGAACTAATTGAGAAAGCAATATGAAGTCAGGTCAAACTTACCCGCGGTCCAGCTTCTCAAGACATCTTTTGACTGCATCCTTGAATTCTCAAGCTAAGATTGCCAAGCTAAAGATACTGGCCAGAACCAAAATTCCTTTGAATGGCATGTGTAAATAAGTATTAAAATCTCAGGTGAAAAATGTTTTTGGATTTTCACAGCTGGAATTAAAATCTGATGTTTTTGACTAGCGTGGCAACAACAGAAACTAGTTTCTAAGCAACGTCTAAGCCCGGGGCAACTGGTGATGTTCAAGGAGGTCTGCAAAAACGGCTATTGAAAACAACCCCCAGGTCTGGTGTTTCTGTGTTAGTGTTATAGCAGAGGACAATGTGTCATCAGTCAGATGTAGCTTTAGAAGCCTCTGCTGGTCAATCGGATTTATTTCTCTGTGATATGGCAAAAAGAACGGATATTAGATTACCGGAGAAGTTCAACCGAACTCCCAACCCTACTAGCTGGATATCACTACCGGAGGTGCAGACATGTTTTGAAACATTTGACCCAGAAGATCAGTGACCCGGTTTGGACACCGGGGATGAGTCTGTTTGTCTTCAGAACCAAACTCGGTGCAGTTTGCTTATTTTTGTTAAACATTTCATTTATGTGCTCCATTGGGTGCTCTAAGCTGAAAAGCTCTCAGCTGGTCTTGGCTCCATGATACTGTCTCAATATAATTCAATAATCGACAGATAATAAACTAATTTGCTGCTAGTTTTACCGCTGCATGTTTATGTTTTTAACTCTGGAAAATATTTAACCGATAGCTTAACAGAATTAATCTTCCTGATGCTGGAGTAACTCATTAGTTTGACCCGTTCTTTGCAATCCAGGATAGCATGGAAATTCTACCAGTCCCAGGAGGATTTATTGTTGAAATATTGGGATCATTTTTTAGCTCATGTCTGTGTGTGTGTGTGTCATAGCTTTCCCAAATTACGCGTTTTTCCTTAAACCTGCTGCACACAAGGGCAAAATGCTGAGCAAATGGCGTCGAATGACTGTTTGCTTAGCAGATACCTCGCTGTGTGTGCCTAATTTCCTCTTGAGTTTTTTTGTCTGAGGTGAAAATCAAACCGGTTTGATAATTTTCGCTTCACAGGGAGTAGAAACTCACCTTGTGCACACAACGTGAAATGCCGCCTGAATTGAAATATTCTGGTGGCCAATCAAAGCGTGTTCTCTGCTCACATGATTAAAAGATGTATTCAGATGCAGCTCCCTGTCTGTATGTCAGAAAGATAAACAAAACGGTACCTTTTGGATTGATGGCCCCACCATATCTACTACCTTCTTGAAGGATTTAGGATCCAGGCGGCGGTACTGTCAGAAGCATTCTGGGATTGCAAGGCGCATCTCTTAAAAGTTGAATGGTATAAACTCCTTGCCTGGCCCTTCTTTCCAGGCACCATACTCATATTTTCCTAACCTTGAAATGACAGCGGCAATGAAACTTCATCAACAAAAAAAGTAGAAGCATTTCCTCCTTTCCCACCTCTGTGTCCATTTAATTTATTTTCTGTCATGCAGATGGGGCTTCCATCTTGGAATCATGTGAGCGGAGAACTTGAGATTGTTATCCACACCTTCATCTCCTATTAGGCTACTGCAACTGGCTTTTCACGAGTCTGAGCAAAACCTCCCTAAACTTTATTTTGGAGTATCCCCTAACGCACATTTGTATATATTATATCTTTTATCTCTATTTACAGTGATTTTGCCAGAGACATCAGTTTGTCTTTGTCTAAATCTGTGGTAGTTTGTAATGGCAGTATATTACTTATTGTATGACAATAATGCCTTTTACCTTTGTTTTGCAGAAAAATCTTCTAACCAAGAACTCAGAAGAGGACCAAAGAAACCCTGGTCTACTGCTGAAGTTGTTGCTGTAATGCGACATTTCAAAAATCACATAAGTAAAGGAAAACTGGCCTCTAAAACTGAATGCAGCCATTGTAAGTTGGTTGAGGGCCCTGTGTTAGCCAACAGAACTGTGCAAAATATAAGGGACTTTGTGAGAAACCGTGGCATAGCTGCCAAGAGGCAAGCCCTGAAGCAAAAATAAATCAGTCACAGAAGTTTTTTTTTTTTTTTTTTTTTTGCATTGAGATGGTTCTTGCTGGTATATTATGTTCACAAATATTAAGCTAGCATTTAATTTCATTAGTTCAATGCAAAGATTCTAAAACCTGGTGCTCCAAAGAGTGTACATTATTTTTTTCCCTAAGATTGTTTAGCCTATTTTTTTTATTTATTTTTTGTTCATGATTGTTAAAACTGAATGCAACATTTGTACTTTCTTCAGTGGTACAAGATTTCATTAGCTCACTACAAAGATTGTAAACACTGATGCTCTAAAGAGTGCACTTTACTTTTTTTTCTAAGACATACGGCAGGGCAATTATTGTTTCAATTATTGTTATTTGGTTTAAACCATGTTCTATTTTTACCTGATGAATAAACAGTCATCAGTGATTTCTGTTTGTCAGATTGATTAATTATCCCCATTTAAAGGGCTTGAAATGAGATGCAGTTGTCCCTTTAAAGTCCCCTTAATGTTTATTTTGTTCTCATAAACCAGTTGTGTGTTTATGGTAATTAGATGGGCGGTACATGTGACATAATTGTCCCTTTAAAGTCCTTGTAATGTTCTATTTTGGTCCTTAAAAACCACAAAACAGAAAGTCCATACTAACCACAACAGTGTCAGGGTGCTGTAAAAAATGTTGTGTAGGTCATATTTAAGACCTAAAGTGAGCTAAATTTTTTTCAGATTTTTTGCAGTGGTTTTATCTTCATCCCATTGGTCTAGGACCTTCGGAAAGGGTGGTCCATGTAAACCACCACCGGGCCTGTTTGAGAGAAATGTCTGGCTATACCACAAAAACCAGTATGTGTGTGTGTGTGTGTGTGTGTGTGTGTGTGTGTGTGTGTGTGTGTGTGTCTGTGTGTGCGTGTGCGTGTGCGTGTGTGTGTGTGTGTGTGTGTGTGCGCGCGTGTGTGTGTGTGTGTGTGTGTGTGTGTGTGTGTGTGTGTGTGTGTGTGTGTGTGTGTGTGTGTGTGTGTGTGTGTGTGTGTGTGTGTGTGTGTGTGTGTGTGTGTGTGTGTGTGTGTGTGCGCGCGCGTGTGTGTGTGTGTGTGTGTGTGTGTGTGTGTGTGTGTGCGAGCGCGTGTGTGTGTGTGTGTGTGTGTGTGTGTGTGTGTGTGTGTGTGTGTGTGTGTGTGTGTGTGACTGCTTTATCCTTTGCAACATTAGTTTGACATTGATAATTTTTTGTCTCACTTGGGCCATTGGTGGTAAAGATATTAATTAGAGCAGATATCAAATGACATAATTAAGGATTTAAATGAGAAATAACCTTCTGGATGTTATACCTCAGAGCTGGCGATGAGAAATGCAAAGCTGGGTAAGGTGGACAGGATCACATATACAAGAGCCACGGGCCTCCTGATGTCAGGGCAAAGGACAAGAAAGACATCAAAATGTAAGAGAGGACCTCGCTCACTATGTCAGGTGGTATCCACCAGTCACGGGCCTGTTCAGACTCACACAAGCTGCTCAGGTGATCGATCACACGAGGCAGTGAACTTACCACTTCTTCCTTCCAACGATGAACCGCTTCTTCACAAAGACCAAATACTTAAGCGGTACCCAGATAAACAGGGCGGTGGAGGTGACGTAGGCGATGGAGGAGGCTACGATTAGCCAGTAGGCCGTGCTGCCATCCCCCGGGGGCTGCGCAGATGTTTTCACCTTGGCTACAATGACGGCAAACCTCTGCATTACGATTAAGAGTGGCACACACAGGCCTGCAAACTGCAGCACCTCGCAGAGGGCGAACTTCAGCACGCTCCCTGAGCCCATCCTGTGGCAGGTCACAGAAAGAGAAAGAAGGGAGGGAGACGGGGGGCTGTTGTCGCACTGAGGCAACCCCTGTCCCTCTGAGGGCTGGTCCAGCCTCGGGCTGCTGCATTGTCTTCCCCCACCAGCATTTTCCACACACCACAGCCCTGGACTCTCTGCTTACACTGCACTAGGCTTTGTTTACCTAGATGTTGTGACTTACCTTTTTGTCCCTTCTGATACACGGTAGATACTAAGCTTCTAAGTTTCTCTCTACCTTGAAGGGAGCTGCTTGCAAAGCCCAAATCTGACTGGAATCAATATGAGGCATTTTCCCAGTAAAAATTTCACCACATTAACATTCAACTTTTATTCTTTATAACTTTATAATCTAACTTTAGTGTAGGAGTTTCCATCCAAAATAGTGTTCAGAACCATTTGCTTCAGTTAAAAATGCTCTGAGAAAAAACTGCCATCACTTTGATCTGCTGCCATCTAGTGGACATTTATCATTATGACGCATAAGAAGTTGGAGACTGATGTTGGAAACTCTAAAATCCCACTTTTCTGCGTTGATTATGTGCCTTTGTATTAAATGGCTCTGTTTCACACAGCAGATGGCTAAGACTCTTCCATAGAGACCTGGAGACTTGACTGAGTAACTGGTTAAGGGTTAGGTGGTCTACACTACATCTGAATGTGTCTTTACTTTACACACAAGTCTGCATGGTGTCATTAGGAGGGCTAATTTTAGATTCTGCAGCAGTGTACTTTCTCGGGGAGCGTCTCATGAGAGCAGAGCTCAGTCTGATATTTGTGGACCAGTTATGCACTGCCCTCCTTTGTCTCACAGATTCACTCCTTTTGCACTTGCATCATTGGCCTTGTTATGTACCAGGTATACCAGAGATGTACAATCAGCCGGCATACATTGCGGTCGATTAAGCAATACTCCCTGTCTCAATTTGGGAATTATTTGCACATTTGTCTACCACACACTCGAAGCCTTGCTGCACACTTTCTCCAAGTGCACTTTGTTGAAGACTGCGAGTATTGGGATTGAGCCAAAGTAGCTTCAGATGGCGGTCTCCTTTCCTTATATCTGGACAATCTTGCTCCTGATTGGGTAACAGCAACATGACTCTGACTCTGCTCTGCAACGTTGATGTTTTATCTCCACCAATAACACAAGCCAGAAAGAGTTCTGCTTCATGTTGGAGTTTCTAATGCTAACGGTTAGCTTCTACTAGTTGAAACATTATCTGCTGTTTCCTGGATACTAAACCAACAACAGCCTTCCTCACTGAAGCCCAATGTTTTTGCATTACCCCAGACTTATATTTTTGAGTTATTCAATGTGTTTCTTAGAATCAATATAGTCATTGTTGTGTTTATGCTGTAGAAGCCATCTTGGATCAAGGTAGTATCTAAAAATCAATCAGTTGTGGACAGTGGTGCTCCCAAGGGGTGCCAAGGGGATCCACGGACACCCCAAGAAAATTGCTGGTAAATAAATCCATTCTCTACAATGACAACATAAATGTAAAACCACATAAAAGTGTATGATTGAGTAAATTAAAAACAAGTATATCGATCACTGCCTCTCATCATTTTCTAAACAAAAGCATAAATTTGTAGTTTTTGTGAAAACAGCAACATGCAGTAAACTCTATCCTTAATCTAAACCCTTAATCTAACAGCTGAAATGTCTCCTCAGTTTTCATTAGTGTCTACAGAAGTGATTTATCACTAAATTAAACAAATCAGCTGTGTTCATGATAGAAAATACACAGGAAACATCCTGGAACCAGACTACAGTGCCAGGTATGTAAGCTACATTTTCTTCTACGTCCAGTTGACTGGACCGACACTCTGAAGTTGCAAATGCGGTATTCTGGGGCAGTGTGGGTCTGAGTGAAATTCCATTAACCCTGATTATATAAATTAATCAACATTAATTTTATCACATACTGTCACATTGCGAGCGCAGGAGGGTTGGACCCAAAATGCAGAACACCACACAACTCAAGGCTGGAGAGGTTGTATAAACAAAAAAATCTTTTTATTAGGAGGATAAACTCAAAAACAAAAACTGCAGGACTCAAAGCCAAAATTCTAAAGTTCAAAAAGTAAAAAAAAAACATAGGCTCACTCATGAGCCAGAATCTATTGTTACTAGAGAGGGGTACAAGGCATCGCTGACGAAAGGCAATGAACCGACAAACACTGGAGACACAGACAGGGTTATATACACAGGGCTGGGGTGATAGGAGACGAGGGGCAGGTGCGTGAGGAACTGGGCACAGGTGAAACAAATAACAGAGAGGAGGAGCAGAACGGAGCAGGGAAGGAAACCAGACCTAACTGGGGAAAGGGAACACACACACACACACACACACACACACACACACACTAAAGGAGACTAAGGCCTAGTCCACACGTAGCTGTTTTTTTTTTAAAAACGGATATCCGCCCCTCCAAAAACTTGTATCCACACCACCTCGTTTAAAAAAAAAAACTCTGTCCACACGTACCTGGATAAATACGTTGTTAAGGTCATGCCAGACCTGTAGGCGGCAGTATTTCCCCCGTTCTTAACCTCGTCCTTCTTCTGTGGTCTTCCGCAAGGAGCAGTAACTCCGCTTGCAAAAACAAACAAGCAAAAAGCGCTTGGACCATTGATAAAGCGAGCGCAGCTCTAAGAGCATCCACGCTGTCGGCTAGTGCAACACAGGTCGCACACGTGATGTCAACATTTTTTTGTCGCGGAAAGTGACGTTGCGGACCTTAAAACTCCGGTTTTGTTTGTCCACACGCAGACACCCAAAGCGGAGAAAACGCAGATCTTCACTTTGGCCGGAGTTTTTAAAAAGATCCGTTTTCGTGTGGAAAAAACTCAGTTTTCGTGTGGATGACAGGCCAAAACGTAGAAAAAAATCTACGTTTTGGCAGATCCCCGGCTACGTGTGGACAGGGCCTAAGGAACTGAAAATATTAACCTATAGAAACTAGGGGTTGTATGAACTAGTCGACTAGTCGAGTTCACGGCTCTGTAGTGACTTTTTATGCCTGTCATCGACTAGTCGCTGTCACGTGATAATGACTGACAAGATGCAGTCCTCCAGCAGGTGATGAGCCCCTGCGTCGGGAGGCGGAGGATACGTGCTGTGCCAGAGCGTCGGTACTGACACCGGTGGTAAAACGGACATTTAACCAAACTGTGACCTTTTCCCTCTTGCAATTTAACGTTCCCCTCACCCCCATCCTAATCTTAACCAGTTTGCGCATGCAAAGCTCTGATCGTTGATGCGCTCCAGACATCTGTGTCCTGAACACCGCCAAATCAGGTGTCACCACCTCAAAAACAAATTAAACACGCGATCATTCATGTCGGCTCATTTCCTTTAATGTTTTCTGTCTGTTATTTGTGCCTGACGCGTTTCGCTGCTGCGGAGCGAGGCTCTTCACCTGTTTTGTCCTCCGGTGACGCACCCCTAAGATTCCACTAGCTCCGCTCCGCTCCGGCACGAACTCCGCAGCAAAAACGGTCCCGTTGTAGTCGGCCGGTGAGCAGCACGCACTCCGCTGTTTTTGTGGTCGGTAGATCTTTTAGAACTGCAGTTCAAAGGTAACTCATAAGGTGAATATAAATTAGCAGTTTTTCTTTAGGATTGAGAGGAGATGCAGGAAGATAATAAACAGACAGGACAGAAAAATAGTCAAATAAAAACAAGTTAGTTTTTGTACCTGGTGGTTGCAACAAACAGACACCATTGAAGGTAATCAGAAGTGAGGAACAGAAAATGAAATAATTATTTTAATGTTTAGAGCGACAGGAACTCTGAGAGGCTGCAGGCGCATCAGTTTGCTGCTGCTGCGCAGGGGGGAGAAGGCTGAAGCTGAAACTACCGTTGTTACAAGTGATGTGTTAACTTAGAAAATGTGGGTGCAATTTTAACCTACCGAACCCCCCCCCCCCCCCCCCCCGCCGCTTCAGGTTATGACGTCATCAACGACTAGTCGAAGTCTACTCGATTTTCATTACTTGACTGTCGACTTAAAAAAAATTAAGTCATGCAGCCCCTAATAGAAACTACAGTGGGGAGACTAAGAGAACATGAGGAAAACCTGGAGGGAGCTGGGGACAAAAAGGGCTGGGGACTACAAGGACACAGAACGTGAGGGGACACCTGGAGGGGGCTAGGGACCAAAGGGACACAGAACACGACACACACTGAGTAAAAAAAAAATATTTTTAAATATAATAAAGTTATAAAGTATCCCTTTTATCAAAGTGTTTCTGAAAGCTGAGCCTAGAGTGTTGGGGAAAACATCTGCATTTCTGCCTTAGAAAAACCAAATAAATCCTTGTTGGTTTTGTCAGCTATGTTTTTTTTATTTATGGTATCGGCTTTAGGAAAAATCCACACCGGTGAACCATTTTAAACCAACTCAGTCATGATTTGACTTTGAGTCCGCCAGCAGGCCACGCACTTGCCTGCTGAAGTGAGAGGGGATCTCTATGGGCGGATAGATGGATGGGTGACCCCTCTGCTCCCCTCCCTTTCAACCCCAGCTGTCAGCTCCCTTCCTGACTTCCCCTCCCTGCCCCCGGTGCCATGGCGTCCAGCGAGGAGGACGGCACGGTTGAGGAGAAGGAAAACAACAACAAGAAACGCACGAAAAGCGCCCTCGTAACTGCATGGCTCACCTTCTACAACATCGCCATGACAGCCGGGTACGTGCTGTCTATTAATAAAGAAAGCAGGGAGGTTTTAGCTGCTCCCTTATAAACCTGTAAGAGTGTGTTGCTGTTTATAGGACCGTGTGTGTGTCCAGCCGGGAAAAGTGCCTGTTCAGCTCTGAGGGGTTTAGCTGCAGATCAGCGTAAGAGTTGGAGGAAACTTGAAAGTAAAAGCCGGACTGAATTGAAAGCCAGAGTTGGGTTGGGTGAGAGTTAGAAAAATGAATGAGCGGTGGGTTTGAAGTGACAGGCTGGCGCTGCTGCCGTGTCCAAATAGGGCTGACTGCGTGCTGTCAGCGTCAAAAGGCCCAGTGTGCGTCCGACAGTTGCAGTGATAAGTATAGCCGGATCGCGCTTCTGACACTGGAGCTCAGGTCTGGGACTGTGAAGTGCTCAATGAGCAGATTTTTAATAACAACACATTTGTGAGGCAAAAATAGGCAAGTGGTGCTTCTAACTAAATAAACAAACCACAGAATCAGATCAGTTATGCGGGACAGAAACTGTCAGATGTTTATTTTAAAACTTGATGAGTGACTAAGGATGTTGTTATTGTTCTAATCACACCTTGTTATCTTTTACGAGAATCAGAAAATCTTTAAATAATTAAAAGCAAATTGTTTTTATTTTAATGTGTAAACTGTAAGAAGTGGGAGTTAAAGTAAGGATCCCCTAGGTCTATGTGTGTTCAAAAAAAAAAGTTGATCTAAAAAATTTTTTCGCATGTCTCCTTAGGGGCTCCGTACTACCCAAGAGGGAAATCCCAATTAAAGCAGGCAGTAGCGCACACAGCTCTTAAAATCATGTTCATATCAGTGGAGAGACTTTGTGGAACAGCCGAGATGAAATAATATCTAATTAAAATATCACATAATTAAAGAAAAAAATATAAAGAATAATATAATTGATAATACATAATGAATGAGATCACTTGTTTCCTTTGTTTATAAAAAAGTTCAAATGATTCATTTTTGTATCTAGGTAAATGTATGAGTAGGTGTACACACACGTGTATGTATGGGTAAAGAGCTATGTATTAATATATTTATGTGTATTTTTCTGTGAGCAAGTATAAATACACTTCAAAATTTTTGATTGGATATTGGCTTTAAATTTAGGGGCATGAACTAGATATGCCACTGCTTCTTCCTGCTCCCTGTTAAAAAAACATTTGTTTTTGTTACAGACAATTTTGTTGACATTTTTTTTTAGTTAAATGTTGTTTATTTTTATATCTTTTATTCACACTAATTATCCAAAATGAAAATAAGAAAAGAAGGAAAGAGAACAAAGATCCAAAGAAATGTTAAACCTGCTGCTGCTTGTTCATTAAGGTTTCCATGGTAACCATATGGGTCATATCCTAATTGATAAATGATTTATTTAGTAAGTAAGTAAGTAAATTTTATTTATATAGCACATATCACAGCCATAGAATCACAAAGTGCTTTATACAGATCAAAACAAATTTTACCATGAAGTCATAAAATCATAAAGACCTCAAAACAGGAATAAATTAACATAAAAAAAATTAAGTAATTAAATCATAATGAAATTGATTTACATCAGAAATAATTAAGTCATAAAATTATACAGTTTCATAAACAGATGAAAAATGACAGTTTTGAGTCAAAAATAAGAAAATAAAAGATTTAGGTAAAAAGCAACGCAAATCAAACAGTTGCGGTGAAGAGCTACAAGTTTGATATCTTAAACCAGTGGTTCCCAACCTGGGGGTCCACAACCTCCCCAAGGGGTCCCCACAATTTTGTACGTGCTTTACATTTACAAAATCCCAATAACACACACACAATAGTATAATCAACTCTGTATGTCTGTGTAAAGTTTGTTATTAACCACTTTTAATGCCGGTAGGAGTTGGGGGGCCCTGCTTGTCTCGTGAAAAACAGTTTGGGAACCAATGAGTGACAGAAGGCTCTGGTTGTCAAGAAAACTGAGCTGGTGTATGAAGCTTGACAGATCACCAAACACTCCCATAAGATACGATTAAAAACAAATCTTATAGCAGTGAGATATACAGTTAAATAAGGCTAAATAATGGGGGGGGTCAACCAATTTAGAGATTCCAAATAACTTTTTCTTTCTCATTGTTTCTTTTTTTATTTAAATGTTTCCTTTTTCCAATTATAATATATTTCAAATTATTTTTTATGTATTTTTTTGTTCTTGTGAAGCACCTTGTGATTTTTATCTTGACAGGCGCTATCTAAAAATGTTCTCCTCTTCTTCAAAGTTGCCTGGTGTGAAATTATGATTGAATCATAAACAGGAGGACTGCTTTGGTGCTAATGCATTCGCTCCTTTAAACAGACTCGGGGGTTTGAATATCATTATTGATCATTAATTCATTTTTCCATATTTATCTTTGATGTTTTTATGATCCTAAAGAGCACCCGAGACATTTACAGAAAATGTATCTACATCATCCCCAATGATGTGCTCACTCTTATTCACTTCAGCTCAAAGGTTATATTTATTAAACGTGAGAAAAAAGAGAAAACTAGGTAACAAAACAGGATTGATCTAAGAGTTTCTGAACATGAAACAGGTTTAGTGACATTAGGGAGGAAAGTTCCCACTCAACATCCTCACTCAGACTCATTGGGATTTAATTTGCTGATTAAAATTTACCATACAAAATGTATTAATATGGCGTATTTAAAAACAGCATGGGAGCTGACCAAAGTGCCTCCTAACATAAAAATAGAAACATGCAATTACCGATATAACAGACAGAATACAGCAAACAAATAAAAACCAACAAAGCCAAATAAAACCAGCAAAAGAGGGAAGATAAAAACCACTACCTAAAAGCCTTATTATAGAGGTGAGTCTTCAGGCGGGACTTGAAAACACCAATAGATGGTGAGTGGTGGATATGTGGCAGTGCATTCCAGAGTATGGGAGCTACATACATGAATGCTCGCTCCCTCCTTGACTTGTAGCGCATTTTCGGGGTGCAGAGCAGTAGTTGGTCAGCTGAACGTAGCAAACACAGTGGCACATAGGGCGTGAGTAAGTCTGATAGGTAGGCTGGTGCCAGATTGTTCAAAGCTTTATAAGCAAACAGCAGGATCTTAAATGTTGCTCTAAATGCTACTGGTAGCCAATGAAGGTGCGCCAACACCGGGATCCTATAGCTACATTGGTCAGCGCCTGTCGAAAATCGTGCTGCAGCATTTAGCACAATCTGCAGATAATTTAGCTGAAGTTCCGACCAATAGTGCGTTTGCATAGTCCAGTCGTGAGGTGATGAATGCATGTGCCACAGATTCTAAATGTGCCTTTTTCAAAATCGGCTTTAGGCGAGCCAAGCGCCAAAGTTGAAAGAAAAAATTTTGCTCAGATTAAGCACACAAACATTTTACATCACGTAATATTTCTCTTTCGTTATATTGTGTAAAAACTTGCTTTTTAGGTTTAGTTGGATACGAGTATCTTTTATCTTAAACATAGTTTAATCTAGAGTAGCAGTAGCTCAGGAGGTAGAGCGGGTTGTCCAGTAATCGGAAGGTTGCAGGTTTGATCCTGGCTCCCACTAGATAATGCTGCTGTTGTGTCCTTGGGCAAGACACTTAAACCACCTTGCCTGCTGCTGCTGGTCGGAGGGACCGGTGGAGCCAGTGTTTGGCAGGCCTGGCCTCTGTCAGTGCGTCCCAGGGCAGCTGTAGCTATATTGTAGCTCATCATCACCAGCGTGTGAATGTGTGTGTAAATGGATGAATGACTGATTGTGTTGTGAAGTGCCTTGGGGGGTTGTAGAAGGCGCTATACAAATACAGGCCATTTAACATTTCTGATAGGAGCCATGGAAACAGGTCAGATTTAACAAGGCGGTGTGTTTTCTGAGTTCATGATTACTGTGGTTTATGATTGCCGTTTTTATGTCATTTTGGTTATGAAGTGTGTTCACTTGATTTAGAATTTCCTGATAGACTGTTAAATCACAGAGATTTGTTGTTCCTGTGCACCGATTCTGGTTTGGTGGGCGGTTGCATTTTTGATTGCTGCTTGCCAAAGTTTGTCCATAACAAATCCAACTGATCACTCCCTTTATAGAGCAACCCTGAATTATTTTGAGTGCATGTCTTAAATCTACGAACAGCACATTTTTCATCACTGTTAGGCCCAGCTCACCAGAAAGATAATTATGCCTGTTTATTTATTTTTTTTACTTCTGACAATTTTGAGGACACCCTTGATTATCATAATGGCTCTAAAACACATATCAGATATTCCTGCCGTGTGTGGTGTGCTAAGAGCGCTTTAGTGGGCTCAGAAGGAATTCGGGACTGCTTAGTTCAATTGGTAATATTCAACAAAGAGTGATTTTGAGGACATTGAGGTGTTTGTCACGTTTTATCTTGAGAGGTTTTGCGAGATTTTCCATTTATTCTTTTGAAAACTGTCCACAATTTTTTTATCCTGCCATGTGGACTGGGCCATACAGGTGCGATGGCAAGAAGTTCTCACATACTTCGTCTGAGGCGGTGTTGGTTATACCAGCGGCTTACATTTACGCTTCTAAAGGAATTTGTGTGTTTTAGGTTTGTTTATGTGGTTTTCCTTCCTGCAGGTGGCTGGTTTTGGCCATAACAATGATGCGCTTCTATATCCAGAGAGGCACACACAAGGGTCTCTACAGAAGTATAGCGAGGACTCTCAAGTTTTTCCAGACTTTTGCATTAGTTGAGGTAAGACTGTAGCACCAGTCTTCTTTATTTCTGAACAGACGGTTAACTTTATTTGTGACTTATTGTGTATTTATCCTCCAGGTGGGACATTGTGCCATTGGTAAGTGATGATTGTGTTCATTGATTTCCTTGTTCATCCCATTTTCAGACATTCTTACGTCTGTTCCGATGTTTGCATTCCTTTTAACATTTGTAGGAATTGTGAAGACTTCTGTGATTGTAAATGGGGTTCAAGTGTGTTCGCGGATTTTCATGGTTTGGTTCGTCACCAACAGCATCAGACAGGTAAATATTTAGTCAACTATTTGTGACCTGTTGGTAGCATTTGAAAGGTTTTTTTATACCACTTGTCGATTTTATGGATTTCTACATGTATAATTTGCCAAAAGATCCAAAATGAAGAGAGCGTAATCCTATTCCTGGTCGTGTGGACGGTGATGGAGATTAGCCGATATTCCTACTACACCTTCAGCCTGCTCCACCACCTGCCGTACTTCATCAAATGGGCCAGGTGGAGACGGTGTTTGTGTTACCGTGTTGCTTTTTGTTTGTGAGCATGAATCTATTGATTCTTACCTCTGGCATGATCGGGTTGCTGTGAATCCATTAGGCTGGTTTTTGAAACAAGAACTGGTGCAGCATGCTTGTATTGTATATCAAGAAGCATGTTTGTGTTTTCTTTTCCGGCACTGTTGGTGGACGGAATAACAACAACATTTAGATCCTGACTTTCGTTTTAAATCAATCCAAAAACACTTTCTGATTTAATTAAGCTGGATTGTGTAGTTTAAAAAGTTTAAGTAATTTTAAAGGTGCTTAAATTTAACTATCTGACCCTGTTCTATGATATATAAAGTTAGTTATCTTTCATAATAAAGTTTCTCTTGAACAGGTAAATACTATGTTCCCTGTATAAACACTCACTGGCCACTTTATTGGGTACACCTGTCAAACTGCTCGGTAACACAAATTATTAATCAGCCAATCACATGGTAGCAACTCAATGCATTTAGGCATGTTGACATGGTCGAGACGACCGCTGTAGTTCAAACCGTGCTTCAGGATGGGGAACAAAGGTGATTTAAGTGACTTTGAACATGGCATGGTTGTTGGTGCCACAGGCTTGTCTGAGTATTTCAGAAACTGCTGATCTTCTAGGATTGTCACGCACAACCATGTCTAGGGTTTACAGAGAATGGTCCAAAAAAGGGAAAACATCCAGTGAGCGGCAGTTCTGTGGGCAAAACAACCTTGTTGATGCCAGAGGTCTGAGGAGAATGGCCAGACTGGTTCGAGCTGATAAAAAGGCAACAGTAACTCAAATCATTACAACCAAGGTATGCAGAAGAGTATCTTTGTATGCACAACACATCTAACCTTGAGGCAGAGGGGCTGCAGCAGAAGAAGACCACACCGGGTGCCACTCCTGTCAGCTAAGAACAGGAAACTCGGGGTAAAATTTACACAGGCTCAAAATTGGAAAATAGAAGATTGGAAAAATGTTGCCTAGTCTGATGAGTCTCGATTTCTGCTGCGACATTCAGGTGGTAGGGTCAGAATATGGTGTCAACAACATGAAAGCATGGATCCATCCTGCCTTGCATCAATGGTTCAGACTGGTGGTGGTGGTGTAGTTGTGCGGGGGACATTTTCTTGGCACACTTTGGGCCCCTTAGTACCAACTGATCATTGTTGCAATGCCACAGCCTATCTGAGTATTGTTGCTGACCACGTTCATCCCTTTATGACCACAGTGTACCCATCTTCTGATGGCTACTTCCAGCAGAATACTGCACCATGTCATTAAGCTTTAATCATCTCAGACTGGTTTCTTGAACATGACAATGAATTCACTGTACTCAAATGGCCTCCACAATCACCAGATCTCACCCCAATACAGCACTTTTGGGATGTAGTGGAGCGGGAGATTCGCATCATGGATGTGAAGCCGACAAATCTGCAGCAACTGCTTGATGCTATCATGTCAATATTCCTCTCCGAGGAATGTTTCCTGTACCTTGTTGAACCTACACCACTAAGGGTTAAGGCAGTTCTGAAGACAAAAGGAGTCCAACCCGGTACTAGCAAGGTGTACCCAATAACCCAGTATATATATATATATATATATATATATATATATATATATATATATACACACATATATGAGCCATTGCCCATTTTGAACACAGTTTCAAAGTTCACAATCATTCTGAACAACCGTTGTTCCACAAAGAGCGTGTCAACGTGATACGAGGCTGGTAGTCATAAACTGTTGTTCTCTACTGTGAGTTAGCAAAATATTAATTATAATAACGGAAGCATTCACGCCACCAAAACTGTGCATGCAGCCAGGGGCACGGTGGTGACAATGATCTCTCTTCCTGTCCCTCTCTGAAGACTTTGGTCATTTGGGTCAAAGATGAATACCATGGAAAACCAACCCTGACGCAATTAGAAATGAACAGATACTAGGTGCTATATTTCAGTAAAGTCACTGGAGGATTGTGTAATTATTGTGTTGAGAGAGTTTCTCAAAAGAATTCCAAAGAACATTTTTATAAAATTCTTTTTTTTGCCTCTCTTTTCATTTATCATCCCACACTTGATGAATAAACAACAACTAAATTAATCAAAAAGCTAAAATGAGGAATAGTGAAGAAATAAATACCTCTTATCTATTAAGCAAACAAGTTATAAACAGTCATTTACCTGGAGTGGATGCTGGCGCGTTTTTTGCAGCCGCTGCTCACTAAATCCTAGAAAAAATAATCTCTGTTCAACTCCATGCACATCTCACCCTCAATAGCCTCTATGAGCCCTTCCAGTCTTGTTTTCACCCTGGCCACAGTACAGAAACTGCACTCATAAAAATCACTAACGACCTCCTCACTGCTGCCGATGCTGGACTGCTCTCCATCCTCATCCTCCTCGACTTGAGTTTGGCCTTTGATACCATCTCTCACACCATCCTCCTCCATAGCTTGTCTTGCCTTGGCATTTCTCATACCCTGCTTGATTGGTTCCGTTCATATCTCTCTGGCCGTACTCAGTTTATTCAACTCAAATCCTTCACTTCCCGTCCCTTCCCTCTCACTACTGGCATCCCCCAAGGCTCTGTTCTCGGTCCACTCCTTTTCATCACTTACCTTCTTCCCCATGGAAATATTTTCCGTAAATTTGACATCCATTTTCATTGTTACGCGGATGACACCCAGCTCTATGTATCTTCCAAACCCTCCTCTTCACTCCCTCCTTCCTCCCTCACCAATTGTTTATCTGAAATCAAAGACTGGTTCACATCAAACTTTCTCAGACTTAACAGTGATAAAACAGAAATGTTACTTGTTGGCACTAAATCCTTACTATCCAAAATCTACAGTGTTACACTTCCTGTCGACAACTCCTTAGTTTCCCCCTCCCCTCTGGTCAAGAGTCTGGGTGTCATCCTCGACTCCTCACTATCCTTCCAGTCCCACTTAAACAATATTACCCGGTCTGCCTACTTCCATCTATGTAACATTAACCGCCTACGCCCCTCCCTCACTACTCACTCGGTTGCCATCCTTGTCCACAGCCTTATCACTTCCCGTATTGACTACTGCAACTCTCTTCTCTTCGGTCTTCCTCACAAATCCCTCCATAAACTCCAACTTCTCTAGAACTCGGCAGCCTGCATCATTACCAGAACTCCCTCCTTCCACCACATCACCCCTGTTCTTCAGCAGCTCCACTGGCTCCCAGTCACTTCCAGAATCCAAATCAAAATTCTGCTATAAACATTCAAAGCCATCCATAACCTAGCTCCCCCGTACCTCTCAGACCTCCTTCATCCTTCAACCTCCACTCGTTCCCTCAGGTCCTCCTCCTCCATCCACCTCTCTGTCCCACCTTTCTGTCTGGTCACTATGGGGAGCAGGCCCTTCAGTCGCTCTGCTCCCCAGCTCTGGAACTCACTCCCTCCTGACCTCCGTAACATTGACTCCCTCACTCTCTTTAAAACCAGACTCAAAACCCACCTGTTCCATCTAGCATTCCAATAATTACTCTCTTTGCTCCAATCTGTCTTGTTTGTTTTATGTTGTTCTATCTTTTATTGTGTATTTTATCTGTCTGTAAAGGTTCCTTGAGCGTTTAGAAAGGCGCTGTTGAAATTAAATGTATTATTATTATTTAAATGTATGCCTGGTGGAACAAAGGGCGAGTCGAGATGATGACTGTCACTATCACATGACCAAACAAATACCACATGACAAGTCTCTCCTGAACTAGATGGGTATAAACATCGGTCAAGTTTAACTTATCGGACCGATACTGATACGTCAAATAATGACCAGTACCGATGTTAAAGCCAGTTTATCGTGCATCCCTTGTTATCATTCGTTTCATCAATATAACACTTTTCTTGTGTTATATTTAGTGGCCATACATGAGCTTTACGTCCTCATTTAAAACTTGTTCTGTATTTAGATTGTGCTGCCAGACTTTACCGTGAGAGAACAGCTATAAGGTTTGTGGAAAACGCCGATAACCCATGCCTTCTCTCTGCCGTGTGAGTACTGGTGACGTCCGCTCTCAGAGGAGTTCACCTGAAACCGGAGACGTTTGGAGCTGCTGCACACGCCGACAGCAGTCCAGCACACATGTTCTTCATCTTACAGCTCACAGAGAGCCTTCAACATCCTGCACAGAAGTGGACGTCATTTAATTACATCACGTGAGCTTCAGAGGGGTCGGTCCAACTCTGTTCCCACTTTTGTTTCGTCTCTGATCTTGATACTCGGTGGCCCAGCGACCCTGTCCCCCCCCAACCTTCACATCTTTCTTTAAGCATGGAAGAGACGCCAGGCCCCCTCGGAGAAGGGCTCATGTTTAGCTGCTCCTGTTTTAAAGACCATCTGTTTTGGTCATGGAATGCTCACTCAACTTTTCTCTCACATCCGCCGAGACGTTCCCTCCGGCCTTGGCTAAACGCAGGATCCCTGCGGAGCTAGATCACAGAATGTTGTGTTCAGTGTTTGTGCTTGACAGCGCTGTCATTGCAAAAGTTAGGACTCGCTCTTACAAATGAATGGAAGATGGCAGGAAGTTTAGTGGCTTTAATTCCTGAATCTTTGTCACCAATGTGTGAACTGCTCTTTGGTGCATCCTCATCCATCCAGTAGGACACCTACTCTGTTAAACAAAAGAAAGTTACTCCGATTTACCAAAGTTATAGACGCTCTTGTTAGTTACAATTGCAAACAGTTGTCTGAGTTCAAGTTACGATGATCCACCTGCCAAAGCTGTTCTCCAAGGTTTTGGTTCCCACACATCATCAGCTGATTGTTCCTCCTCCAGATCACAAATGAGCTTTTTTTTTTAATCAGACAAAGAAGTTTAGAACAAAAAAGTTTTTCTCTTTGCAGAACTCATCTGATTATCAGTCAAACGTCCACATTATCTTCAGGTTTTCTGACCCTTGTTTTCAGATTTTGATCGCTGTTTTTTTTACCACTTATTTGTTGAGTTTGAATTCCTGAGTGGTCATTTATTTCTACAACTATGATACTCATAGGGAAAACAACACTTTGCTGCAGAATCTGAGGTCTCTAAGGTCTGGGTGGTGCCAAGTTCAGATTGAGATTTCTAAGAAACGCAAACTCAGATGACAACGAAACAAGTTGCATAAGTCGGAGCTTACTTCACAAAGTTAATAAGACTAAAAATGTCACCTAATTTCTAAATTCCTTTTTTACAGACGTTTTTTCATGTACAATAAGATAATAAATGAAAAGCATTTCAAATAAGCTCAGTTAAATAAGTAATCAAAAAAAGGTGCTTTAAATTCAACACTAAAAGAACAAAAACATCATCTTCTGTTTGCACGGAGTCAGGTCACAGGGGCAGCAGCCAGAGAGGCCCAGACTTCCCTCTCCCCAGCTACTTGGGCCAGCTCTTCCGGAGGAATCCCAAGGTGTTCCCTGGCCAGCTGAGAGACATAGTCCCTCCAGCGTGTCCTGGGTCTTTCTTTAGGTCTCCTCCCGGTTGGACGTGCTTGGAAAATCTCACCAAGGAGGCGTCCAGGAGGCACCCTGACCAGATGCCCGAGCCACCTCAACTGGCTCCTCTTGATGTGGAGGAGCAGCGGGTCTACTCCGAGCCCCTCCCGGGTGACTGAGCTTCTCACCCTATCTCTAAGGGAGAGCCCAGCCACCCTGCGGTGAAAATAAATGTTGGTTGCTTGTATCCTCAATTGCATTCTTTCGGTCACTACCCAAAGCTCGTGACCATAGGTGAGGGTAGGAACGTAGATCGACCGGTAAATCAAGAGCTTTGCCTTCTGACTCAGCTCTCTCTTCACCATGACAGACCAGTACAACGCCCGCATCACTGCAGATGCAGCACCAATCCGCCTGTCCATCTCATGCTCCAGCTTTCCCTCACTCATGAACTAGACCCAGAGAAACTTAAACTCCTCCACTTGAGGCAGGACCTCATCCCTGACCCAGAGAAGGCATTCTACCCTTTTCTGACTCAAGACCATGGTTTCGGATTTAAAGGAGCTGATTTTCATCCCAACCGCTTCACACTCGGCTGCCAACCGCTCCGGTGAAAGCTAGAGATCGTGTTCTGATGTAGCCAACAGGATCACAATAAGCAGAGATTCAATCCAATACCTTGGATGCACCTAGAAATCCTGTCCGTAAAAGTTACGAACAGAATCGGTGACAAAGGGCAGCCTTGCTGGAGTCCAACTCTTACTGGAAACGAATTCGGCTTTCTGCCGGCAATGTGGACCAAGCGCTGACACCGGTCATACAGGGACTCAACAGCCTGTGTCAGAGGGCCTGGTGCCCCATACTCCCAAAGTACCCCCCCAGAGGACTCCCCAATGGACGAAGTTGAACGCTTTCTCCAAATCCACAAAACACATGTAGATTGGTTGGGTGAACTCCCACACACCCTCCAGGACCCTCCTGTTAAGAGTTTTGAATGATGTAAGAATAAATTATGATGCACAGAAAGTGAAGGTTCTGGTTCTACTGGATTTAAGCGCTGCCTTTGACAGTGGACCACAACAATCTTTTAACCCGGTTAAAACACATCGGCCTCTCTGGTGCTGTCCATAAATGGCTCCCTCCGTATCTCACCGACAGGACTTTTATGGTAAGTCTAAATACCTTCTGTTCTAAGACCCGTGAGATTACTTGTGGTGTGCCCCAGGGTTCGATTTTAGGCCCAGTACTTTTTAATCTGTATGTGCTTCCACTTGATGGCGTCATCGGGCGACACAGAGTGCAATTTCACAGTTATGCAGATGATACACAGTTGTACATTTCTGTCTCCCGATGACGCACAACCATTGGATGCCCTTTTTAATTGCATTTTGGATATTGAATCCTGGATGTTAGAACACTTCCTCCAGCTTAACCGAGATTAAGCCGAAGTTTTAGTCATTGGTCCTGAGACCCAGAGAGAAACTTTTTCCAAAGCTACAGTCACTAACTCTTAATTCGCCTTCTCAAGTGAAGAACCTGGGTGTTATTTTTGACTCTGAGCTAACTTTTATTCCCCACATTAAGAATATTACAAAAATTGGTTTTTATCACCTGAAAAACATCGCCAAAGTCCGCCCCTTTCTCTCTCTGCCCGATACAGAGACGCTGATGCATGCTTTCATCACCAGTAGAATTGATTACTGTAATGCCCTGCTATCTGGTCTTCCCAAAAAGAGTACCTCAGGTTTACAACTACTACAAAATTCAGTAGCTCGTGTCCTGACCAAGACCAGGAGGCAGGAGCACATTACACCTGTCTTAAACAAGCTGCATTGGCTTCCTGTACGTTTCAGGGTCGATTTTAAGGTTGTTTTAATGGTTTTTAAATGTCTTAATGGCCTTGGGCCTTCTTATCTCAGAACTGCTTCATGAATACGAGCCTTCGCGGTCCCTGCGCCCCTCTGGCAGCCATCTCCTCATCATTCCAAAAGTCAGGACACACTCCCCAAGGCGAGGCATCTTTCCAGTTTTATGGCCCTAGCCTCTGGAACAGTCTGCCAGAGGACCTCAGGGCCGTAGAGTGTTCTTGTTTTTAAGGCCAGGCTGAAGACTCACCTTTTTAGTATAGCTTTTAAGTGATTTTGATATATTTTAGCCTGTTTTTACCATCTTTTATATATTTAATCAGTGTTTTATTACTTACTCTTTTAATTAAATAACATATTTTCTTACATATTTATTTTAACTTGTAATAATTATTAGTTTTAACCAGTCTTAATACTTTGTTGTACAATATTGTATAACTTTAATTATATGTTTTCTACTTGGTTATCTTTTATCACTGTGCTTTATTTAGATTTTTATTTATCAGCTTTTTATGTTTAATTTGTTTCTTAACTTGTTATCTTAGTCTCATTAGTAAATTAGTGTTTCCTCTGTGGGAGCTGGCTGCCCTGGGGGCAGCGGTGGGCTGTGGCGGCGAGGGTGCTTCCCATGTCTACTCTATCCAAGGCTATTGCTGCCAATCTTGGTGCTCCCGGTGCAGTTGGCTCCTTTGATGGCATTTTCGTCTTCTTTGTACCTACTACATCTGCACTCAGCCAGCTGCCCTTTCTCTGTAACGTGTGTGTGTGTGTGTGTGTGTGTGTGTGAATGCGGGAGTTTGCATCTGCTTGGGACGGGATTTAGGGTGGGAGGAGGGAGAAACAAATGGGATCTCTTATGTGAATCTGTGTGGGAGGGGTGGGAAACCGACTGCTGTCTGGTTGTTTTTAATATTGTAAAGTGCTTTGAGCTGCATTTGCATGAAAAGCGCTTCATAAATAAATTTTGATTTGATTTGATAATTATAGAGTTGGTCCAGTGTTCCACCGCCAAGAAAAAAAAAAGTTAACCTTAAAAAGAGAGTAAAATTCAACTTAGCTCTCTTTGTGTTGCATCTCCTGCAGGTTATATTTTAAAGGGAATGCTCTGTCCACTTTTTGCTGCAGATACAACTTCTTCATCGTTTTGTACCCGCTGGGAGTCGCCGGAGAGCTGCTCACCATTTATGCCGCCCTGCCATTTGTACGCAGATCAGGAATGTACTCCATGAGGCTCCCCAACAAATATAATGTGTCATTTGACTATTACTACTGCCTCATCATTGTCATGCTGTCCTATATCCCACGTAAGTTCTTGTTTGCTTTTCTGTGCTCAAAGTGGTTTTGCAAATCTTTTAAAGACCAAGTTCACTTGTATTTTCAACACATTTGATGTGGTCTCTAGAATAAATGAATGCCTTGTGAGGTGATCTCCGGGGGTAAAAAGCTCTTGCGCTCCTGTTTCAGGAAGTATATGTTAGCCAGTGGCATGTTTTGGAATCTTATTTTCTGATATTTGGACATCTCTCATCTGATTGGCTAACAGCAAAGCGACTTTACCACTGTATGTTTTTTCTCCACAAATGACTCAATCATAAAGAAGTTCTGCCATATTTTATAGTTGCTAATGCTAATGGTTAGCTTCTACTATCTGAGATGTAAAATCAACACAGCCTTTACCGTCACAAACCAAGAGGGGTTAACGCTAATTTGACATGAGTGCAATAGTCTTGCTTTTCTAATCCAAGCGTTTTCTTGTCTATTTTATTTCGCTATCTAATGCAGGAAATAGGTAGGAAACAATTTTCACGTTTAGCAATCATATTTCTAAAGTGTGATTTAAGAGTGATTTTGGTCTTTAAAGGAGACATATTCAATTCAAACAAAGTTGTTTGCACTAAATCCCTCTCACATAAAGCAGCAGATTCACCAGTTTATTTTTGACGGTTTCAGTACCTTCCAGAATGAGCCATTTCAGGGCTCTGTCACCTTAAAAGTGCAGTATGTGAGAACATAGTCAGAATTTCATAGTGAGAAAATCCAAAAAGAGTCTAATGTTTCAGTCATTTTGGAAGAAAGGTTATACTGAAACATGCTTCATATCCAGCTGGCTGCCGGGATTATCAGTTTTTCTCTTTTCAAAACAAAGGAAGGTGGAACAGAACTACTGTTTACCATCAGTGAGGGTGGGGGTGCCGTGTCTCCTGCAGTGCCGACAATTGTAATTTGATGACGACCGGCAAATAGCTCCAGAGTTGTTTAAAGTAGTTGCAGTAACCAAATTTTACCACAGGATGTAATTTTTACTTCATTTCCCCATTTGTGACATTACAAACAGGCACATTTTAAAACTCCTCGTTTTAAGCACATCATTTCTAATACCCAAACACTGACAAAAAACCGATGGACGGGCGTTTTCACGTTTGAAGTGTTTATAGAGGCAGAACCGACATGACACCACAAAAGGATGCAAAAGGTGGTAAATGCATAATATGTCCCCTATGATTCTCCTGCATTCTTAACTGGGTTGAATGAACACATATTTTTTGTGAATTTTCATTATTTTCTCCAGTTTTTTCACTAATCCCACTAGTCTTGGCTCAAATTCAGTGTTTGTTCTTTTTTCCCTCACTTTTCTCAGTGGGATTCAACCAACAAATATAATGTGTCCTTTGACTATTACTACTGTCTGTCTGTCCCTCTGTGTGTGTGTGTGTGTGTGTGTGTGTGTGTGTGTGTGTGTGTGTGTGTGTGTGTGTGGTGGTGGTGGTGGTAGTGCTCCAACACAATGGCATGCTCTCCACTATCCCTCTCGTCTTCCTAACAGGACCCCATATGTGTTTTTTTTTCTCTCTCGATTTTTGAGGAATGAGCACCACCTCACCCCTGCCATGTTGACCTCAAGCGATACCCTGCTCAACCATTCCCTGTCCTGGAGCGGTCACTTTAAAGGACAACATGACTTAATCTAAAATTAAAAAAGGGATTTTTAAATGTCAGAGGTGTTTTTTATCTGGGTCTGGATGAGCATGGCTAAAACTAAAATATCAGAAATTTCATCTGCAAAAGGAAAAAAAAACATTTGGTTATAATTTAGATCATAGTTTGAACTTGGTTTAGTTTGGAACCAGTAGCATTCACCATCATCACCTGCAGCACAACTTCCAGCAGAGGACTCATTACCCACCTAACAGCAACACCCTCAGGCAGGAAGGAGCAGTCACACTCACAACCAGAACTGTCTTTTTCAGGGACGACCGTGCTTTTTATTCTCAGCAATCCATTTGTGACATCAAAAAATATTTAACCCTTTATTTTAGTAACTGATGTGTCTTTTCATCTGTGGATGCTTTTTGTATTCCTCCAGTGTTTCCTCAGCTCTACTTGCACATGCTGCGACAGAGGAGGAGGGTGCTTCACGGGGAGGTCATAGTGGAGAAGGACGAATAGACGAGCACCACCCGATGAGTTAGTTTGAGACAGCCCGCCTCCACCTCCCCTTTCTATCTTTTTGGCCGTCAACATTCTTAATTCCACGGGACCTGAAAAACAGCTGACCTGGCTGACGATCAGACCAGTGATCAGAAAACAACAACAAGCATTAATCAGCACAGAGTCCTGACGTTTACAGTGCAAAAAAGAAGTTCTGGAGCTTGAGACAAAAGTTTGATGCCACATCTCAGCACTGATTCCTCATCTCACCCATCAGCCTTACATCACTGAAGAGAAACAGAGCCACACCACCAAGCAGGAACGTGGAAAGGAAAACATGGAAAAGGAAGTGTGGTCTCAATAATCCTCCATCCCATTAAATTACCAGATCTATTGTTTAAAATGCCCCCCCACCAAGACATTTCAGACACATAGCTGCACGAAACAAGGTTCAAACAAAAGTCGGTTTCCCCATACCTCAACAATAAACCTATATTTGGACAATGTGCTGCTGCTTTTGTGTATATTTGTGTAAAATGTGAAATGAGCGGTTAATACGAAGCCTTTCTCTCTTAATCTGTCTCACTTAGAGCAAGCAAGGCTCAAACTTAATGCTTTGTCTGCTTGGCTCAGCTCCTGCATTCTTTCATGTTTTGATGTTTACGGTGTCGAGTTCATTTACCGGAGTCTTTGCAGAAGTTCAAGCCAGCAAGGCTGACGTTTCTGTGAGTACTCGCAGTCATCGGTCTGTGTTTTGTTTTGTTTTTTAAAAGAACCGTAGAAAGGTAGTTAGACTCCCTCCTACCAAAGGTGCTATCATAAGATCTTCTCAATCTTCTGCGCAGCTGACGGAGCGACTGGGATTGGCCTAGAGCAGGAAAAAAAACGTAGGATGTGAAAGGACTGAGTGAATGGATTGCATAGTTAAAGGGAATAAACAGTTCTGCTTGTGATCTGAGAAAAACAAATGTTCAGTTTCACTTTCTGGGAGAGAGGAGAAAAAAAGCGATAAAAATGTGAAACTTTTTGTGCAACGTGAATAAAGTCAGTTCTTCAACAGTGAATGGAGTTTTGTGATGAACTTCGCACTATGAAAGCTAATTTCCCCCAAAAAATCAAAATAAGCTGAAAATTTTGTAATTTATTTGTTTATTTTCCTTCATTTTTATTTATTTAAACCTGAGTGCAAAAAACAGCACAGTTTCTATTCTTAGAAAGAGAACAGCTTTGTTTCCACAAATTAGAAAAGTGGAATAAGTAAACGGAGCTGATTGGGAGAGTTTCCTAAGATTATGTAAATGTATTCATTCTTATGCATAATGAAATCAGAATGTAGACCAGGCATGGGGAACCCTGGTCCTCGAGGGCCGGTATCCTGCACGTCTGTGCCCCAACACTTCTGATTCAGTGGTTGATTCAGCTGTTCAGCAGCTCATCAGGCTCCACAGAAGCCCGTTAATCACCTGCTGATTGAAATCAGGTGTGATGATGCAGGGTTGAAACTAAAATATGCTGGGGCCCTCGATGGACCAGGGTTCCCCACCCCTGATGTAGACATTCATGAGGTTAGATAAGTTTCCTTCAAGATCAACGTCGTGTTTTAGCACGCCATTTTGCATCTTTTCATTTCTTCTTAAGACAAGAACGAACAAAATTACAGTCCTTCCGGCTTCATAGCATTTATATTTCCCTACAAAAGTCACCTAACTAAAAACATTCAGATATTTGGTTGTACAAAGAGTACAGACATATAAAATGTGTTTGGTAACATTAAAATAGATATAAAAAATTTGACAAATAAACAGTTTCCCCTCCTTTTTATGCCCTGTTGTATTGCACTTGGCTGACAAGGATGGACTGGCTTCGCTCCGGAGGAGACGGCATCAGGGAGATGTTTACTGCTGCAGCCCTGGGCTTGTCCCTTCACGCTTTCTGTCCGGACTGTCCACATGCTGCGTCACCCGGCGCCACTCGGACGAAGAATTAGCTGCTCGCTGTTAGCTTTCATTCACCGTGTCGCTATGTTCTTGCTACGAAAGACAGGAAAATAGTTTGATACAAACAACAGTCGAGTTGTTAAAACTGACCAAAGAAAAAGAAAAATGTCAGGAGCAGACGTACAGGTGTTCATTTCCTTCTCACAGATGTAGCTTATGAGATCTTCACAGAAGAAATCGTTCCATAACCCTTCGTGGATGAAACCAGCGCAGTCTTCTCCTGATTCGTGGTTGTGGCCCCAATTGTCTGGCTGCCCCGGCTTCCACTTCCTGCAAGAAGGCAACAGGGGACAAGCGCACATTGTATTTACAGCCTCAGCTACTGCAAAAAGCAAGTGAACGTACTCATTATGTATTAAACCCATGCAAACAACCCTAGTGTTAAAGAAAGAAATGCTCCTGTTGATGTTTTAAACTGACTTGAAGGTCGGTTCGGTCCCGTCCACCCAACGCCACACGTTCTCCTCCTCCCTGTCCGTCAGACCCATCCAGAAGTAACCTTTTCCAGCCGCCTGCTTCTCCAGCCATTTCTGACAGAGAACGGCAAAATCAAAAGATGCACTCACAGCACAGCGTGGATTCCCCTCACCTGGCCAGAAAGACACCTCACCTGCTCCTCCGTGTCACTGATGATCAGCAACGATGCAGATCTCGATTCACAGCTCTGCGATGCATCGTCAAAACTGAGCAGGTCTTTTGAGAAGAAGTAGCAGTTGTTTCTGAAGTTCACCCACCCAGCAGGGCACCCTGCAACACATTGATCAATCTTAATGAATACTTGACAACAGATACCAGCTGATAGAGTAGAAAAAGTGTGATGTCTTAGATCTGATGATGAGAGTGTAGTAAGTCGTACATGGAGCCCACAGAACAGGAGCCAACGTGTCATCCTGCAACGACACTGGTCCAAAAGGTACATGAGTTTGCAATGGGATTCCTGGTAGCCCTGGTGCTCCCATAGGTCCTGGAGGCCCCACTGGCCCAGGTAGTCCCCTTGGTCCTTGCTCTCCAGCTGGTCCATTTGGTCCACGGATGCCTGATGGGCCTTGTGGCCCTTGAGGACCAGGCTGTCCATCTCTTCCAGGTAGGCCAGCAGCCCCTGGTTCTCCTTTAGCTCCTGAAGGTCCAGCCCTGCCACCCGATCCCCGAGAACCTTTTGACCCGGGGCTTCCAGGCACACCAGGGAGTCCCTTTAACCCTGGAAGACCTGGTGGTCCTTGGCTACCCGGCTCGCCTTTAGGTCCTCTTATTCCTGGAGCTCCTTTATCTCCTCTTTCTCCCTTTTGGCCCCTTTGACCAGGTAGTCCTGGAGATCCCCTGTCCCCCCTCGACCCTCTGGGACCAGGTGGACCTTAAAAACATTGTGGAGAAAACTCAGAATTAATTCATGAAAAAAATAACTCGGTAGAAAAATATTCGCCTTTTGTAGCGCTGTTTTTTATTCTTCTCAACCAAAAATCTAACAACTCATTTGCATCACACGTCTACGGTACCCATTAAAAACTCATCTTCTGTACAATTCACAAGGCAACCATACATCACTCACCCTGTAAAATGGTAAAGTTGGTGATGAGCTGTGAGTGCTTGGTATCCACCAGCTTCATCTCCTCCATGATAATAGAAAGGCTGGTGACCTCCTTGTCCAAACGGGCTGCTAGCTCTTCCTGTTGTGACCTCAGACTGGAGGCATCTGTCCTCACATCTGCCACAGTGCTGTTCAGGCTCACCAGGAAGTCTGAGTGACGACCAACAGTCTCTGAACAAGTGCGCAGGTCATTTAGGTTAAGGTTTATGGCACCAAGGAGCTGAGTGGAGAAGCTGATGTTGCCTGTCACACGGTCCATATTTTGCTCCAACTCATCCAACCTCACCTCCAACCTGTCAAACTTAGTGGAAGTGAGGTTGTGGAAGTCCCTCTGCTGGTCCATGATCTCCCTCAGGGTCTGGTCCTGAACCTCAGTCAGGCTGCTGGTATTCTGGAGTTGGCTGGTCATAAAAGTGAGCTGTGCCCCCACATCCTCCAGGGTGTCGTTGTTGGCTTTCGCTAAAGCTGAGGCATTACTGGCCATGACCTGCAGGTGGTCCATTTTACTACGAAGCCACTCAGCATCAGAGCGTGTCTGTCGGGCAGTCTGATCCAGGTTCTGGTAGTCAATGCGCAATTTCTGGATTGCCCGGCTGGTTTCGTTAACTGAACGCTGCAGAGTTGCGATAAGGCCTCTCTGCTGGGCTTGAGTGACGTTGAGATTGCTGATGCTAAACAGCGCCTGGTTTTGCATATTGACCTGCTTCTGAAACTCCTTCTGCATCCTGCCTGTGTCCTCCTGTAGACCTTTGATGATACTGCCATGGGACTGCAGAGAGCCATTGACAGAGCGCAAGGAGGCACTGTTACTATTGAGCAGTCCCTGAATAGAGCCTTGGTTGTTCTGAATGTCAGAGTCAGTCTTCTGTAGCTGATTTAGCTTAACTTGACTGCTCTGGATGTGTTCTTCCACCGCAGACAGTCGTCTCTGTAGAGCCCAGATGTTGTTCTTAAAAGCCTGGATCTCTGTGGTGGTATTGTCTGACTTCTCTCCTGCTTGATCATCTGAAAGTGAATATATGCTTAACAAATTGCACAAATCGCGCTCTAGCTTTCTCTCAGAAGCTCAGAAAAGTACATACCAAGCTTTTTTAAATCGGTCTCTACAGCAGTTATCTTTCCTCCATAGTTTGCGATACCTTCGGATACGCTGTCGACTTTTTGCACCACTGCAAAAACAAGAAAACATAAAAGGTGAGTCTTCTAAAACAGCACATTTTATTACAGGACCAAACATGCTTAGAAGTGCCTGCAACCACAGACATTGTGTTTTAACAGGGCTCAGGTAAGGAACCAATGAAAATCTCAGACAAATACTAGAAGAGATGTCAACATGTCTTGTAGGCATGTAATAAAAGTAGACTCCATTAATGTAATCTCTTGGATTAGACCAGATTTAGTCTGTGACAGAGGTCAAGTGGAGTTTGTGCATTTAAATGAAAGAAAAAAGAGTTTAGTTAGTCAGCATTACAGATTGAGGTGGGGACATATGGGAGGACACTGCAGGGCCCTGGGGGACAGGAAGTGACCAGATGGGGCTCTTCTGTAAACAGATGGATCAAAGACAACCCACTGGAGACAGACACTGTTGCAGGGAGGATCTTTGCGCCCCCACAGGCGACACCAGTATTAATTTCCTTTGGAATGTGTCTGGGATTCCAGGGAAGCAGCCCACTTCTCCCACCAGCCTCGCCAGGGGGGGGCAGCCTCTAACTGGAAGAAGCACGTGCTCCTCTGCTGGGAGACTGTTTACCCCAGTAGCTAAGACAACAACAAAAAACAAAGGCTTTCACTTTGCTACAGAAAGACGACATCATTTGTAGCATCTGTGCATCTAGATGGGGGTGGACTATGTTTTACTGCATCAGCTTGTTCATATCTTACCCAATAGCACCTTAAACCCCAGGAAACAGGAAGGAACACAAAAGGAACAAAAAATTTTAAAAATCTACATGAACATCATTAAAATAATACATAAATGACAACCGGACAACAATAAATCCCCCAACAGCGCCCCCTAAGCTGTGCCTAATCATCTCCAGGTGAGCATGGGACACAACCTCAGTGATCCACTGACCACATGCTGGTGGGCGAGAGTCCCGGATAATATTAGTTTTTTAGCCAGTAAGCAAGACATGGCAATCAGACTTAGCTGACATGTGTCCAAAGGAACATTCACTGCGACATCTCCAAACCCTTGTGTGGGTATACATGTTCTTATGTGTTTTTTATGTATTTTATTCTCATTTATTGTAGTTGTTGTATGTTTTAGAGAGCGAACATCTACCGAAGCTAAATTCCTTGTAAATGTAATTTTACTTGGCCAATAAATCTGAAATCTGAATCGGAACAGCAGTCAAGGAGTCCAGGCGCACAGTGGCACCGCAAATCCTGAATCCATCAATGATAAACTCCCAACATCCCTGCAAGTTCAGGTACGTCTAGACCAGATGAAAAAGTGTAGCAGGTCTGCAATGCTCACAATTTGGGTCCAGGTCTGTCTTTGGACCAATGCAGACGGTGGACCACCTTGAACTGGACAACTGTCTTACACAAATCAAAGATTTGTGAATGTTCTTTAGAGCCTTGTGCCAGACCTCTGACAATCCTCGCTTAGATGTTTGCAAGTATCTCAGATTAAGTCACAATACTATTTCGGTTTGATTGGATCAGGCTCCACTGATCAATACGAACTGCTCTGGAGTGGTTCTCCTGTTTTCTCTCTGAGCGTTCCTTCTTGGTGGCCATCTCCAATTTTGGACCTCCCTCACCTCCCTTGCCAGTGGTGTTCCACAATGTTCTGTGCTGGGGCCTCTACTGTTCCTCCTCTTTCTGCTTCCTCTTCAGCACATCCTGAGCTCCTTTAAGGGAATCTCCTACCATGTTTACACAGATGACATCCAACTGTACATCTCCTTTAAACCTGCACATCTCCTTTAAACCCCATGAGATGTCTAAGCTGCAGCTGTTACACTCCTGCTCAGACTCTATTAAAACCTGGATGGCTGGGAGCTTTCTACAGCTGAATGAAGATAAGACTGAGACCCTCATCTGTGCCCCAGACAAGCTGGTTCCCAAAGTCAGAGACTCTCTTGGTCAGCTTTCGTCTCACATCAAACCCTCTGTCAGGAACCTTGATGTGATCTTTGACCCAGCTCTCACCCTAGATTCTCATGTCAGTTCTCTTGTTCTCTCTTCCTTCTTCCATCTCAGGAACATTGCTAAGCTGAGTCCCATTCTGTCCCGCTCTGAACTTGAGACAGTTCTCTACACCTTCATCTCCTCACGCTTAGACTACTGTAACTCTCTTTTCACATGTCTGAGCAGAACCTCCCTGAACCGTCTACAGGTGGTTCAGAATGCCTGTGCTCGGCTTCTGACCAAGTCCTCCAAACACACCCACATCACCCCGCTTCTCCTCCAGCTTCACTGGCTGCCAGTTAAGTTCAGGGTTCATTTGATTTTTATCTTGATAGAGTATATAAAAAATAAATTATTTATTATTCTTCTTCATTTACTTTTCAAATACTCAACATTTTCCACACAGAAACCTTGGGATCCAGTATTATGCAGAAGTTAGCACATAATGTCAAATTGTACCCCAGGATGGAAACATTTACTTCCTCACACAATAAACAAATTTTAATGTTCTACAGAAGACCACCAGTGCATCACACTGTAGTGAAATAATTCATTTCAAACATTCACATATAAAATGCATGACTTTGTCCAAATGTTGCAGTAATGAGTTTGAAATATATCTAATTTTTTTGGCTTCTCCAACTTAATTTTAAAATGAAACATATTTTAAAGTCAAGCAAGCCAGTTAGCTCTAGGATACATAGTTTTATCAATATTAAACAGGCTCATTTACTAATGACCACTTTTGTTGTTCGTTTTTTTACTACATGACCTAATGAACGGTCCTTAGCGCACCACTGCTGCTGTGTATATCAGCTCATTTTCACTCATCAGAGGAGGATCTGCAGCTTGGGAGCTAGCATTAAGTCCACTGGTGTCACAAGGAAGTAAGGACTTTGGGTTTCCAAAACTCAGTTTGCTTGCATATATGAATTCCAGCAATTCTTGAGGTTAAACTGCATCAAAACAAAGCAGCCCCACCAATGTGGTTAGCGTGGGTCAGTGATGGAGAACAGAGAGAAACACACATGTTAAGTGCATACAGGGGTCTGGGTCTCACTGCATAACCATCTGGAAGTGGGAGTGTGTTTGAACTGTGGTTCCCCTGACAAAGCGACACGTCAGTGCAAGTCAAAACCCAATTTCAGTGTGTTCTTCTCGAGTTGCATCGAGTTCACCCGCTGCTCATCTGGGATCAATTAGGCCTGCAAGAAAACATGCAGCGTAGACCAGGAAGAACTGACTTTGCTCGAGATGTAAGTGGGCATCATCAAGCAAAGATGCACACAAAGATAACTCCTAAAACATGCTAACTTCATGTCATTTTCTGCAAATGAAATTATAAGGGGACATTACATAGACAGGCGGAAATGTTTAACATGACAGTAGCAAGAAAAAGATAATGGGATCCAGTTTTGAAATGGAAAAATGAGGAAGTTCAGCACCAGATCGAGGTTCTCCAGAGGTGTGAGCTGTGGGGGGTAATGGAAAAATACTGAGAGAAAGTTTTGGAGTAGAGATAATGAAAAAAGAGGAGCCAGGCGGTCCCATGAAGCTGAAATTCAAAGGGTTTGTTCCCTCAAATGACAGGAATTCAATTCCTCCTCGTGGTTTGTTACAGTGTAGACGAGTTTTACGGATGTAGTGAGGTTTTAATTTTTTGTCCCCACATCAGTACAAGCACAGTAAATAAACTTGACTTTGTGGGGAGTAGATTTAACTCACTTCTACTGTCGGCTTCCTTTAAAACACAGGCAGGAAGTCTAATGAAGGATAATAAACCATTTTAAATGTTTTACTGCAGTCAAACAGAATTCTTCACAGATACATTAAAACCAACTCAAATAAGAGGAAAAAGTAATTCATGTAGGAACATATATTTCACAAATACTATTTATGCCTTGAATTATTTCTGATCACTCATTTTAAATGATAAAAATGAAGAAGGCCAGTGAGGCGACGGTGGCACAGGAGTTAAGTGCTCACCTCGCAATCGGAAGGTTGCAGGTTCGAGACCCGCTCAGTCTGTCGCTGTCGTTGTGTCCTTGGGCAAGACACTTAACCCACGTTGCCTGCTGGTGGTGGTCGGAGGGACCGGTGGCACCAGTGCTCGGCAGCCTCGCCTCTGTCAGTGCGCCCCAGGGCAGCTGTGGCTACATCGTAGTTCATCCCCACCAGTGTGTGAATGTGTGTGTGAATGGGTGAATGACTGATTGTGTTGTAAAGTGCCTTGGGGGGTTCCAGGACTCTAGAAGGCGCTATATCAAATACAGGCCATTTACCATTTACCAATACATGCAGAAGTATTTGCACATGCTCTATATTCAACCTCAGCCCTTTTATCGACTCATTCCTAATTTATCAAACTTCTAAATGTCATTTTCCTTTGTTACAGTAATAAAAATTAGATTTATAGGAGGAAACTGGATACAAAATGGGAAATTTGAATGTTTCCACAAAATGATGAGAACATAATTCTGCAATTTCTATTAAATCTACCTTTAAATGTTTCCCTCTGTCTGTTTACTTGGCTGGATGTTTTCTATTGTGCCAGAAATTTGATAAAGTTACACAACAGAGAGAGTATCTAGGACTCTTCTCGATGTGCAGAAACTCTCTGTAGTAAGGCACTCTAACCTACCATTTAATGTCAAAACAAACCATATCAATAAATAAGCATAACAAAAAATTCTTACATAAACGGCTTCATTTGATCTCTTTTACAGGTATTGTTGACTCATATTCAACGAGATAAAAAGCATGTGTATGCAGTGCACTGTGCATTTTATAATAACAGAAATGACAAACTACACATGCACCAACATCAGTTTCTAATCGAAATTCATCTTTTGATATCCAAAAGTCGGATTTGCAGGCAAGTAATCCATCACATTGAGTCATGGCAGCAATTATTTTCTTCTTTTGTAGGTCTGACAGACTTGTTGTCATCATTTCCATTCCTGATCTAATGTGTATAAAGCCGTATTGCAACAGAAGTCCTACTTAGCCCTGACAAAGGACTCTCCAGAGACAAGAGTTACGTGTCTGGTCTCATTGTTTTCACACAGATCAGAAAGGATCTTGGCACCATGCAGGGAAACCGAATGATATGTTTGGATGCTTTTTCATCATAAAATGAATCATTGCAGCATTTAAAAAAACAAAGGGCATCGTTCAGCACAGAAATGTAACTAGATCTTACCTTTGTACCCCAGCACAGCGACAGCAATAGTTAGGAGAGTACACAGCACATAAAGCAGAGCTATGGAGGTCTTCAGAGCCCATTCGTTCTTACACTTGGTGCATTGGGTGGCCTCCTGGATCCCTGTGTGAAAAGAGTAGATACCACATGGTTTATTTAATGCCTACTGAGACTTTTACCTGAGCAGAAACATTAAAGGCCATCTTTCATGTTCTTTAAAATGGCAAAAAAGCATAATCTAATGTAAAAAAGTTACTTTGGTTATACTCCCAGGTTTCCATACAACTATTATTGGTGTTTAAAATACTAAATAAAGGGATGAGAGCAAGCTCCCCCAAAAAACGCGCGATTTTAGAGTCACGTGACGTGTCCAGAGGTAAACGCAGAGGCAAACGAGAGGACAACGACAAATCGGTCATTTTTAGTTGCTGAGGTAAAACCAAGTGAACTAGTTCAAATATGGTTAATGTTTGTGTATGTGGGGGGTGTACAAACTCCAGTTTGTCTGGACATCGTGTTTTCCGATTCCCAAAGCAGAAAAACCCAGCTTTCCGTGCTTGGGTGATATTTGTTGGGGTAAAAGGGCAGGATTTTACCAGCAGTAGAGTCTCGAACAACTCCGTGATTTTTGGTGTGCATTTCCACGAGGCGGATTATTTCGAGGGAGACTTGATTGAGCACAGGATGGGGTTCAGAAAAATGGACTAAATCAGACTGAAATCCACTGCAGTACCATCGATACATGGAAAAGGCAACAAGGGAAAAGGACCGGGAGCAGCCGCGCCTGGAACGACAACAACAATGGCGGCTCCTTCTCCTTCCAGCAGCAGAAGAGACTCAGGAGCTACATGCAGGTCAGCAACTCACAAGCTGGAAGTAGCCAGAGTAAGTGTTGTTTAATTTCTAAAAACCGTTAATGACAAAAACATTCAATGATAGAAACGTGTTTATACAAATAATGTCTATATTTAGCCGTGTTAGGCTATAATTGCGCAGCTAAGTGAGAGATAAACCGACCACACTTCGTCGTTACATAACAAATAAATTTTCTCTAAAATCACGGTGAGCAGAAAAATAACTGACACGGTGATTCTGGTTAAAATAATCATTTGAGCACCACGAACAACCCTTGCTTGCCTCCGGTTTCAACCAGCTGCTTCACCAGTTCATAACGTTGGTTACATATTGTAACCCCAGATTCTATGAGTCTAGTAGCAGCCCTTAAGCTAGCTGCTATTGGAAGGGTGATCTCAGCATCAGCCAATCATGAAGAGCTTAAATGTACGCCCACCAATGGTGGGCACCCCTGTGGGCATATAAGTGGAGCGACTCCACTGTCCGCCTCCGATGGCTCTTGGTCCTAACAGAACCAGTGGGGCCATTGGCTTAAGGGCTGCGACTTGACTCATAGAATCTGGGGTTACAATACGTAACCAACGTTCTATTATGTCTAGTCTTAGCCCTTAAGCTAGCTGCTATTGGAATAATGCACAACTAGATGGGTTTACGCTACACTGGTTAGCTCAACAAAATGGACACACCCAACATGTCTCCTTTTAGCGAGGGTCGCTCAGCCTCAGCCCAGGGCTTAAAAGGCTGAGGCAGCCAGAGAGAAAAGTGGGGCCCCCACTAAAAATATCATCCACAAGAGGATGAAATTCATTCAAGTAGGGCTGATGTGGTGCCATAATGCTTTCACTCAGCCTGCTGAGGTTTAAGCACTGAATGAGTGATGGATCCTGAAGACACGTCTTGTAAATAATAACGAGTAAAGGAACATGGGGAAGCCCATGAAGCAGCCTGACAAATGTCTTCCATCGACACACCACTGTGGAGTGCCATAGAAGAGGAAATCCCTCTGGCTGAGTGAGCCCTGAGCGTCTCAGGAGGATCCCGCCCTGATGAAGTGTAAGCGAGTGAAATGGCGTCACACAGCCAGTGTGAAAGACGCTGGGTCGACAGCGCTTGCCCAAGGGAAGAGTCTCTGTAGTGCACAAACAGGCTTTGTGAGCGGCGAATCCCTGAAGTGCGTGACACATATCGTGCGAGCGCGCACACTGGGCAGAGGAGGTGGGAAGCCGCCTCCTCATCAAAATTATGGGGAGGAGGAAAAAGTCCAGCCAATGAAATTGACCTGGATTTGAAGGAAGTATTAATGTTTTTGGGCACAAAGGCTGGGTTGGGGCATAAAACAGCAGACCCGCCATCTTCCCGGATCCTGAGGCATGCGGGAGCCACTGAGAGGGTGGTTAGGTCGCTCACACACTTGACTGATGACAGTGCCAGCAGCAAAGTAGTTTTGAGTGACAAGAACTTGAGTGAGACCTTGTCAAAGGGTTTAAATAGGGCTTCAGATAAGCCGCGCAGAACCACCGTTAGGTCCCACTGGGGAAATAGCGAGTGGGACACAGGTCTGTTCCTTCTGAACTTTTAGAAAACGTTTTGTGAGGGGATGATTGAAAACAGATTCATCTCCAAAACCCTGGTGACAGGATAAGATAGCTGCAGCGTATGTCTTCATAGTGCTGAATGTGAGGCCTCTGTCCATCAGTATCTGACAATGATAGGACATCTGCCACCTGGCAGGAGAGCGCTTGAACATTCCGCTCTGTGCACCATTTCTGGAAAGCTGCCCATTTAGCAGCATAAGATGTGAAGGTAGAAGGAGCCCCCACACTCTGAATCGTGGCGACCACATCATGCGGCAGCCCAGAAGCTTCTAAGCGTGACCGCTCAGTGGCCAGACCCACAGCCGTTGGCCTATTTCTGGAGGATGTTTGATTATCCCATCTGCCTGGAGAAGGGCGCCCGCCCTCCACGGGAGCCTCCACGGGGAGCCGGACACCAGCGCTTGCAGGTCTGGAAACCATGACGCGGACAAGCTTCCGTGAGCTACCAGAATTACCGAGAGCTGTTCCGACCGAACTCGGTCCAGGAGTATGGGAATCAGTGGGACTGGCGGAAACGCATACAGGAGCGTCTGAGGCCAGGGCTGGTGTGAGAAGGCATCTGCTCCGAGCAGGGGGGGGGGGTGGTCCCGGGGACTCAGGGAAAACCACAGGCTTTGATGGACAGCAGGTGGACATGTGCCCAACACAGTAAATCTGTGGCTACGCACAATAGTGAGAGGGATCGAACTCCCCCTTGGCGATTTATGTAGGCTGCCGCCACCTGGTTGTCTGTGTGAACTTCGACATGACGGCCCTCGAGAAGGGCAGCAAAGTGTCTGATCACATTCCTCACTGTCATAAGCTCCAACACGTTTATGTGCTCGTGCATGTGGGAGGGCCAGCGATCGGCCACCATATGGGACAAGCACGTGCCCACCCCCCCCCACCCCCCATCCCAACAGTGACGCATCCGTAAAAACAGATACGCGTGACGTAGGACGTCCGATGGGGACCCCGTGTGAGAGGATGCAGGGATTCCCCCAGTGAGCGAGGTCCCCACACACTGAAGGGGGAACCCTCAACATACGTCTCTTCTGACGTATCGGGTGTACCCGGAGGCAGATGAACCAACGCTGTAGGCGTCTCGTGTGCAGTAAACCTAACAGCACCACAGCGTGGGCTGCAGCCATCATGCCCAAAAGTTTCATAACTAACAGGGCTCTCACAAACTTGCGGGGTTGCACGCGGGAGATCACCGTGGTGAGATCTGCTGCTCTCACCAGAGATAGTTGTGCTCTCATTAGGGAAGCGTTCAGCTCCACCCCGAGACCCACAATCGACTGGGATGGAAGGATGGAGGTCTTTTCCCAGTTTATGGAAAATCCCAGGGTTGACAGATGCTCTGTTAACTTCCTGGTTTGCTCTGACGCCTTGTCCCTGGACCGGGCGCATAGGAGCAGATCGTTCAGGTAAAATAAAACCTCATTCCCGCCATGCACAATGGCTGCAGAGCTGTCTCCAGACATTTGGAGAAGATGCGTGGGGATAGCGAGTAGCCGAAAGGGAGATGATTGAACTGGTATTGAACTCCCTTGAATAAAAAGCGCAGGAACTTCCGGTGTTTGGGAATTACTGGGATGAGGAAGTATGCGTCTTTCAGGTCAATCGACGTGAACCAGTCCCCGGAGCACACGTATTCTAGGACTTGTCTCATTGTTAACATGTGGAAATGCATCACTGCCATAGAGCAGTTGAACAGGGAAAGGTCGAGAATTGGTCTCATTCCTCCCGATTTCTTCAGTACTACGAAGTAGCGGGAGTAGAAGCCCGAGAGCTCTTGCCCGCGAGGAACTTGGGAAATGGCGTCCTTGACAGAAGTTCCCATAGCTCCAGCTCCAGGGCCTGAGATTGTTCCTGTGACGTGAACGTCGTCTCCACGATCCCGTTGAAGGGAGGAGGAGCGGACTGAAAATGGAGTTTGTGACTGTAATGACTGGTGTCCGATATCCATTTGCTCATGAGACAAAGGTGGCACCATTCTTGCGGGCGCTCCAACAGCGGACGTGTGTTCGAGGTCACGTAAACGACGTCTGAGGACTGGGTTTGCGCCCTTACCGCCGTCGCTCGCACCAGAGAACTGGGAGCGACCCATGGAGGGCTACGCTCGAAAGGGCGAGTGTGAAACAGCTGGAAGAGGCTGATCCGCACCGCGGAGCGTGGTGTCCAAAGATAAAGGACGAGTGGGAGCCGGACCCGTGCACGGGGATGACAAAGTGCCAGCGGATGGAGCCGCGCACTGTCGCTGCGTGTGGTCGCAATAGCGCCATGACATCCTGTCCCACCCTACGTTGTGGGGGGAGTGGGATGTGTTGGGCCTGGCAGCAAGATAGGGCCTGTGCGCAAATGGAGTGCACCCGTACAGCTGGCTGTGGGCGTGTAATATGAATGACTGCGTGAACATGCAGGTGTTTCGCAGTGCTTGGTGTGGGGAACGTGTGAGGATTTGGCAGAAGAGTCTGCAGAGGACTGTAGGATTGTGCTCTCAATGTGACATTTTTTGGGTTTTATTTCAAAACCAAAATCATTCACAAAGTTAACATTAGTCAGAAACACACACATTCCCCCCAACATGTCATTTTCATGGTTGCTTTCGGCGAGGTTCTTGCGACTGTGACGGTCAAGACGGTGTCTGCTGGCTCTTTTGAAACTGTTGGCTGCCAACTCTCTGGTCCC